ACTTGGTTCACTGAACTTAATTAGTAGTAAAAAAGAAGATTACTAAGTCGAAAGAAATTAAAACAGAACCAAAGAGATTGAAGATACAGTCAACACAGTACAGCCATAAATAAATTGAATCATTCAAATTAAATTACGAAAATGTAGTCTTTCTACATTTAAGAGAGGGGTGAGATAAAACAGGAAGTCCCCACTGAGTGGAGAAGATGATGTTGGGACAGAAACCATCCATCTTCATTCGATCTATAATGTCAGCATACACCCTTGCAACCCTGCCTGCTGACACTACCATGGAAAAGGCCTTGAAAATAAGTTTTCTGGAACGAGATAGCCGAATCGCTCCCTTCATTTTCTTCATCCAACGCTTCCTAGGCCTCCCAACCTTGGTGGTCTCATCACCATGCTTTAGCTTCTCATAGCGCAATCCACGCATTGTATCCGGGACTGCAGGGACACCAATCGGCAGCATCATGAGCACTCTGAAAAGGGAAATTAAGGCAGAATGCAATGACACTAGCTAGCATATATAAAGATCACTGATAAGGATGGAGAGAAGGAAGGACGGCTGGAACTGGCTGGCACCGAGCAACACATGGCTTACATCTTATTTTAATTGAGTACATATACTCTGCAATTGGGAATTCAACTTTTTGACACATGGCTAACATCATGCATGCATATAACCACCACAATTAGGCAGTGACATTCATTTTGTGTGAATATTTGTTAAAGGTGGATGGAATATGGGAGGCATGTGCAATGATAAGCAGCCGACCATGCCAGGATGCAAAAAAAAACTAAAGGAATGTATGCAGCAGCTGCTCTCTCATCTTTAATTAAGTAACAAATTACCAGAAAAGCTGATCAAAGTTTTTTCTTTATTTGTATGACAGAGATTAGCTCTTAATCAACAATATATGAATTAATCTTATACCAACTAAACGATTAAAGGAGAATCAATCAAGATTTAGTGTATTTTGGAGTGTTTAGAAGAAAAGAGTTGGCAGTAGAGAGATTGAATACACAGGGCATCTTTCTTTGCTTTGAATGCTACCTGAATGCATTAGTCTTCGTTAGATGTATCCTAATATATTAATGTGTTGTTTCGAAAGAATTAAATTTGATTCAAGTGTATTCCAATATCTGCTAGAAACTTTGACCACTAAACATTTGTCCTCTATCCAAGCCAACTATTATTCAGTGGATGAATTTTCCTACTCAAACGGCGAGATTCCAAAGCAAATTAAATTAAAGGAGAGAGCATGTATGCACTGTACCCTCTCCTGTCCTAAGTTCCAACCAGCGCTGGGCTGCAGCCCTAGCTCTAGTAACTTGTCTTTATGCAAAACTTACTAAAATGCAGTCTGTTTGATTAAGTTTTGTATTGGTAATAACAGGAAGAGCACCCTGTCACACTATCCCTACAACTTTGGAATGAGAATCTGTAACAGGGAAAATTCTAAAAATTTATGATATTTTTGTCAATTTTCATAAATAATTTGTGTGGTTGAAAGAAATTATGTAAAACTAATTATTAAATTAAAGGAGATGAAGCACTAATATGGGGACGGACAGGTTCGCCCTATCCTAAACGGCAGTGCAAACTCTTATTACTAGTGGTAACAAAGCAAAACACGTTTTGCAAGTCCGGTTGTAAAGTAAATTTCTGTTTTTGCTTTGTCTCTGTACATCTTTTCATTCAAACTTTTTTTGGATGAGTGTCCTTTCATTCATATGACTTTTTGTAAAGCCCATGCCATGCCATGCCATGCCCTGGGATGGGATGTGTTTCACTTCCATTTCTGTTTTCCATTTTTTAATATCCAATGACCAATGCAACCAAACAAACTGGCCAGTTCATATTGAGTATTTCAGCATTTTTAATTAGAATTTTTAAAGTTTATCTTCAATTTTAATTAACGTTTGAATTTCTTAGCTTAATTAAGCATGTGCCAGCTCATTCCAAGCTGCAGCCTGCCTATCCTCCGCACCACCATTTACTACTACTAATTAATATAAATAGAAACGACTAAAGATAATGTTTGCCAAATATTAAGGAAATAATAATACTTGTATATATATGATGATTTGTTGAGAAGAGTCAATTTAATCTAAATTCTCAAATCTTACGCGTCGCAAAGGGAGCATGAAACTACTAAACTAAACTAAACTAACAATGTCCTAAAAATGATTAATGATTTTTTTTTTCCCTTTGTATGTGTGTGTGGACTTTGCAGTTAAATTTAACAAAATTCACTAAAACTACCAGAAACAGGAGAAGATGTGATTGTAGCCGTGGTAGTTGTTCACAAAGTTGATGAATCTTCTTCTCCAGTAGCATAAGATGGGATTTGCATAATCTTTCTACTTCGTTTTCTATTTCTATTTGAGAGAACCCTTAAGAAAAATCTTTTGTTTCTACCGAGCTAAAAGTTAAAATAAAAAAGATGTCTATATCTTTGATAAACTAAAGTTATCGTTTAATAGCTGTTTTGCTTCAACCTATCCTTTTGAAGATTGAGTGACGATTTAGTTATGCTTAAAAATACATTTTTCTTTCTCCATAAATCCTTTATTTAATACTTATTGACTTGGAAGGATTCATCCAATTCAAAGTTATTTATGTTTCGAAATTCCATAATCCAATTTTTCAATCTATAATTGATCCTTGGATACAAATGACAAGAATTATATTATTCCTCAAATCTTTCATTGAGAGATAA